GAGGGATGCAGAAAACAATTTATAGCACCTGAGGAGGAAGGAAGCCAAGGTAAGCACTACAAAAATGTAAATATTACTTCAGCCAAAACACAGTTCAGGAGAGCAGCTAGTCCATGGTTTTTTTGTACAACTACTTATTATATGATGACTTTTTAAGAGGAGAAGTCCCCTAAACAGAATGTTCTGTTTTCCTTGGCACAGTAGATAAAGGCAAATGAAAGCAGCGTATCTTCCAATATTGAGCTTCAAACCCAAAATCTGTCACTGAAAATGTCAAAGGGCATCAAGCAAGAGTGACAGAAGTGGCCTGCTTTCACCCAGCCACATTTGGACACACATGCTAACCTCAGTTGGGTTCTGAAGCTATTCTTTATGCAAATTAAAATTTTGACTTAATGGTGTGGTGGAGGTAAAGAGAGGTAGGAATTGTTTCTAGCATTTTTTGCTACATTTTAAAATACACTTTAATTGTGACTTAGAACATTTGACATTCTTTTTTTCTCTAGCCAGCAAAAGTGTCCTGTAATGTAAGAAAACTGGACCCAGTCATGCTGCAAATTATAGACACTGAGTGGATGACATGCACAGACTGCACATGCAGGGCTGTACCTGCTGTTTGCAGATGATCTACACCACACTGGAAAGGTTTAATGTAGAGATAACACTGACTAATACCTCCCTCATCCAGTAAATCTCCACATCCAGTTAGCAAAATGTTCATTGTCTACCCCAGAGAAAATTAAGTGTGAATGTACTGCTACCAGTTCAGCTGCAAATACATCTGTCAACTAACACTATTCCTGTGGCAGTTTCCTAGCTGGGTTAGCCAGCAAAGCAATATAAACCAACATCAGGGTATCCGCCCAATAATCACAGTGTTAGTTGAAGTGTGGCGATGTGCTAAGCTATCTACCGCTTTAGGATTCCAAAGACAGCTCAAAATACCTCTCTAATGTAGAACAGACATCTTAAAACCCCTTCCCCAGCTTTTGGGCCAAAATTATTAAATAACAACATCCTTAAAAGAAAGGCTAGAGGGGTACTGGGTCAGGGAGAGTCATCTTATGTGCTAAATATTATGACAAAAGTATTCACAGAAGGGTTTGCTCCCAGTGCTCTACATGATGACGACGTCTCGCTGTCCTGAATAGGAATTCAACATACAAGGGAAGTACAAAGTTGCACAGTTTGTTGGAACATAGTTCCTGTACCGGGATTTAATGGACAACTTTATGCTGAGCCTGATTACTTTTGCATTTGCAGGATCTGGACAGCACTGGTTCTTTCATTGTAATTTTATAGTCAAAATATCATACAGACAAACTTGCTGTCATATGGAAGCTACCAGAGGTGGACCAGATCCTGATCTTGGTTGAGAATAATTCCTTAAACCCACAAGTTTCTTCTGAAGCTCAAAACAAAACCAAGAGTCCAGCCCACAACGCCCTTCTTTGCGTAATGCTTGCACACAGAAAAAGTGGGGGCTTCCTCTTGGGACTTTTTCATTTGCATATATGTACACACAACTTACACAACACACTGCTTGTCCAATCTTATTTCAGATTACTAAATTGAAATAATTTGATTAGTAATAACAATTCTTTTTTTAAAAAATAAAATTTTACAGTAAAAATTAAATAGTGAGAATATAATTGTCTAATTCACTTCTAAGACTGCCCCTTACTCTTCACATCCTATTTCTATACCATTGTTCCTCCTTTTTTCATACCCCTCTGTTATTGCTCACTTCAATTTCACTTAATTTCAGCCTCTAAAGTAGCCCTGCATCTAATACATGAAGGTACATTTTGAAAAGGTAAAAATATGCCATTTAAAAGAGTAGGGCCAACACTTTCATTTCCACTTCTCCTCCACAATTTCCTCCTGGTACTGTTTCTGAGCTCTTTAGGGAACTACCAATGACTAGTTCTGCATCACAGACTGCTACTAAAATGACTGTTATAGATCAAACCTTTCAGCATCACATAGCCTTCACTGTACTTTTTAATTTTGACTCTATAGTCTGTCGGGGCACCTTATAAGCATACATACATCAGCAGAATATTTCCAGATCAGTTATAGACCAAGCTTCCAGTTCAGGCTTAGTCTTGTGCCTGATCTGAAGGATAGCAAAAAATATCCAAGGCTTATTATGCAATATAGCAAAGAACCTCGTTCACTTTAAGTAATTACTTGGTCAATAGCACTGTTACAAATAGCTCATTTTAAATAGTTGAACAGTGGCGATGTATTCACTGTTTATACATATTTATCTCCTACCTGTGAGCTATCCTCAATTAAAGCAAGGCATAACTGGCTTCAGCTTGCAGAGGATTTTCAAGGATTTGTCACTTTTAGTATGGCATGAAATTTCTATCATGATTTAGCTCACAATAGCTAATATTACTTATATACAGAATTGATATAGAAGGGAAGAGATGCAAGGCCTTTTCTGCGCTCTTGCCTAAGACCACCCAGGGAGGCTATGGCAGAAGCATGAAGGACAATTACAACTCAGCCCTCTAAACCACACCTCTACCCTTGGTTTTTTTTTTTGTGCAAGTTCAACCTAAACTTTCTTCAAAGATGCTAAATCTTTACAGGGGTGGGGGAAATTGTGAAGGGGGAACAGGCTGGGTTTTTTTTTGTTTGGGTGGGGTTTTTTTGGGAGTCAGCATAAAAAAATTTTGAAATTTCAATACATCACAGAGAAGCCCAATTTAAATACTTCAGCAAATAAGAGAATCATACTGGAAATACCCGATCCACATGAATTGCATCATGTTTTCTAAAGGTATTTAAACAGAAATTATTTTGGTATTTTTCTTTGGTTCTTTCACCTTCCTTTTAAGAAGTATTATAGTTCTTTCCAGGAAACTTCAGAACAAATACCTTAAATCCACAGCTACAGATGTATCAAAACCTGAGCTACTGGAACCCTCTGTCAGATAGCAAGATACCTGGAAATCACCAATACCTCAAACATTATGTTTGAACAAGGTTACATCCACTTTTTTTTTTTTTTCCCTCCCAATCTAAGTTGTGCAACATTTTAGCCTCCAACTGTTTGGTCATGCTGACACTGTATTTAAAAACTAAGGTCAAAGTTGAGTAAAGGACAATGAATGGAGAGAACATTTCCTACAAGTCATTTCTGGTGTTACACTCTGGCCACGAGTGTAACTGTTTCTACAGCCACTGTTATAAAAAGCATTTCAACCTACTATGACTTGCAAAACTAACTCCAATTCAGTTGCTAGGAAGTATGATGGAAATCAAAAAGGGATATTGAATATGTAAGTGATGCTGCAAATTTCTTTTTCCAGTTTTAAAACCTCAAGATTAACAAATCCCATTATCATTATTCAGTTAGATCTTGATATCATCTTCCTCTATTGAAGAGTCACAAGACAGTTTTCACTAGCTATCATACACTACAGATGGAATTTACCTAGAAATTACTAAACCCTTCAATGCAAAATCCAGTAGATTAAAAATTGCCAGACTGGCTTCTCAACAGTGGTGCCCACAACTCCCTTATAAGAGTGACACAGAACAGCAGTATTAGTTAGACACCTTCCTGAGACAACCTCATTCTTGTTAGAGCACCAGCACTACTTGCTACTTTCCCTTTCAAGCACCTATCTTAAATAGGACCAAGCTATTTACATTGTTCCTAATGCCTGACATGAATCAACTACACTCACCTGAGCCCTATAGTATGTGCCAGGCTATGTCAATATTTATGCTAGTATTTATGCTCTTACTAACTAATAATTAACTCTGGCTATGTAACTACTAAAGTGCCAATACTGCCATTAATGCATATAGAAATTCCATTAAGTACGATATAGGTGTTATATCCAAGTAAAGCATACAGAACAAGCCATTCACCAGAAATATGGACCTGCAACCACACTGCTGTAAAAGTATGAAAACTCATGCGTATGAGCATCCTTAATACTGCAAAAACATTTCTAAGTAAGCCTGTATTTTATTAAAAAAAATGGTCCTAGTGCCATTTGCTTGCAGAAACAGATCTTATCTTTTGTGCTACTCTCCAGTAAATTCACTGTTTAGAAGAGGCCTCTGGGTAAAGCCTGTTCCAAAGGAGCAAAAGCTACTCATAAACTTGAGGGAAGTACCTCCTCCAGCTGGACCCTAATGTTTCTAGAATAAGTGAAACACATACATCACAAAAGCTCTTAAGGCTATAGAGAAGCTTAAGTTTTTGGTTTTTTTTTTTTTTGTTCTGTCTTTAAAGCTCCATGCAATTTTCCCCTTCCTCAAAAGCTAACCACAAAAACTCTAATGCTCTAATTTTTATAACTAAACAATTTCAATGCCAAGTCGCAATTACCCCTAGAAAACTTAGCTTCATTTATCAGAGACCCAGTTCCACTTTAATGTTCACTTTAAAATGAGTTTAAAGACTCCTCAGTACTCTAAAAGCAAGATAGAATTTCATCAATACTCTAAATACAAGATTTTTAGAATTTTTTTTTAATAGAGAAACGGGAGACTCTTACAGAGTAAGACTTTTATGCTAGACACACAAACCAGAAATAATCCATTTACTCCCCCTCGACCTTCCTTGGCTAGACTAACTCAATTAGTTTTCCTAAACCACCACAGATACTTGCCAAGATTAAATATTTGTGTTTAATCATTCAGAAAGTGAAAGATTATGTACCGTAATGTAACACTCTTTGCGGAAACCTCTAGTTGAGCAACAGTTCCAGAAAAAATTGTGAAACGAAGTAAAAGGCAGTCCAGAACACCACGCTTCCACTCAGTTAATTCAAAAAAAAATTAAACTTCAGAACTAAGCGCCAAGTCAAGACCTCATTTTTAGCAAATGAACATTCTCGGAGGCGGCACATTTTTAAACGCAGCCCGTTTGGAATGACTCCAGAATAACAACCATCGCTAGGAAGTTATCATATATTATCATCCCCTGGCCAGTAACTTATGCCACACGCAGACATCGTGACGGAACGATGATAAAAACGTCAGGGCTAATTTTTACCATCGCGTCCAGCAACGTCGCGTTAATCCAGGTATGCGGTAACCCAGGCTGCGGGATCCCAGGGGAAAGTCGCAATAAAAACACAGGCGCACACGGCTGAACGCTACCTGTGCAATTCCAGCTGACGCAGCGCAGGCTGCACGGAAAAACCGCACATGTATTTGGGGCACGCACAGCCCGGCCGGTTTCTCCCCGCGCCCGGCAGCACGCCCCTGCCCTGCCTTTGTAACATGGCAGGTCAGCAGGCAGAGCTCAGCGCCGGCGGCTCTCCGCTCTCCGCCCTCCGGAGCGCCGGCCTCCGCGGCCCCGGGACTGCGCTCCTCCGGCCCGGCCACCGCCGCGCCG